GAGGGGAAAGGTATAATTATAACATGCAATTTAATTTGGGAAAAGATTGAGAGTAAGTTATACATATATGATTAAGAGTAGCTAAAATAGAAGTAACAATTCCAAGATGAGTGACATTCAGATTCTAATCCTAACCTTTATTTAGAGGGTAGAAAGAAAGCTAATATAAAGTAAAAATAGCTTTCAAATATGATTTGAGAAAAAGGATACATGAAAAAATTAAATGGGAAAAAAGTTATGACATCAGAATTTAAGGTGCCAGTTTCCTCAAAGTAAAATCAATGTCTTAAGTTTAGAAGAACTTTTGTTTCAGCAATAGCGAAAAAAATTCAAATAGTTTCAGAGTATAATTGTGCTAGATATGAACAAAATTTAGTCTAAATGTAAAAAATAAGGAATTTTCCATGCAGTTTATGAGGAAAGACTTTATTTACATAAAGCATTTGTAGACTGTTTTTACATGTGATTTAAAAAAATACTTAGTGGAACATGAGTCAGATCACACAGTTACATAATTATAATCTTAAATATTAATGATATAAATTAGGACCCTTTTAATCAACCTCACTTTTTAATTTTGAATATTGTGAAGTGTAGTGAAGTTAGGTAGCTTGTTGGAAGACATATAAACTTCACTTACCTAATCAAAGTCTGCATTAGAAATATATACCTTCCAAGTTTTAGATAGGGTAACAGGCAAAACTGCCATATTGTGATAATCTATGGTAAAAGTTAGAAACACTGTCTTTCAATAATAATTTTTAAAGCATTTTATGTGTTGATTTGTTACTGGAAATTAGTAGCCTAAGTAACAAAGTATATTTCAAACAAGAGAAGCATACTGAAAATCCTTTTTTTAAAAAACAAAATCTCACATTGTTTTAGTAGCCACCATTCAGCCATAGAATTCTTGAGTGTGCATCTCACTCAAGGAGAGTCTGTTTTTAGTTTCCTAAACATGTAAGTGAAAGGTGTGGGAGTTGGGCTTGTGGTCTCTTCCTCAGTTTTGAAAGAATTAAGGAAACAAAGGAATCGGCGAATGACAGACATGCACTGACAGACATGCACGATGACATGACATCTCTGCATCAGACAATAATTTATGCTATCGCTAATCTTCTCAACCAACCTACAAGGTGAATATTGTTTTCTCTTTTGTAGTTGAAGAAACTGAGAGAGAGGTTTGTAAACTTGCCTAGCACCAGAATATTCAGTATGCATGCTTTTAAGTCCCTTGCTGTTACATACAAAAGAAAATCTGGCCGTTTGTGTGTGTGTGTGTTTCTAGATTATCTCACATAACACGTATCACATTTTGCACAGCTTTAATTATTGGTGAGTATACCTTCTAGCATTCCTATTTTACTGCAAGTTGTTTTAAAACGGTGATTGTAGACACACTCTCGTCATTTGACCCATAGTGTTAACACAGAGCTTTGTACAAAGAAAAGGCTAAAGAAATTTCACTGGAGATGGAAATACATGTTGAAATTGACTTTTCAAATGCTTTTTATCATTAGTAAATCTTTTTTATGAGTAATTATTTTGTCTATATATGACTTAATGAGCCCCTAATGTCTTTTCTTGGTTTTTCTTCTCTATGTGTTTTTGAAGAGCTATGTTTCAGAAATGACTTGAGTGAAAATCCCTTTTATGTGAAAACTGGTTTGGTTAAGTTAATGACAACTCATAAATTGGAAAAAAAAAATCATCCCAGAAAGTTTTCTTTCTTTTTTTTTTTTTTAAAGTTAGTATTTAAAGAGTGATAGTTTATCTTTCTGTAGATTATAAGCATACTTGTCTGGAACATTATTAAAATTTATATAGTTTACTATTGCAATTTTATTATATATATGCCCAAATTAGCACATTATTGTGGGGCTGTGGGTCCATGGGTGGTGAGGCTAGGGTGTGAAAACATATTACCCGCCTCAAGTAATATCTTCTATTCATCTAAATTCCTTTCCCCACCTCTGTTTACAGAGTAATCATGAAAACAAATTCTTATGCTCAAATCAAATGCAAAATAATCTTAGTAGACATGCTTTATGCCCTGCTGTGATTATCTTAAAATAAGCCCATATTATAAATAATAGATAACACTTTCTTATCCTTTCTATAAAGTAACTCTCATTGCTTCATCAAGGTGAAAATATACTATGTCATATGAAACAAACTATTCTGGTTTTCACTAAAGCTAGACTTAATAATTGCAATACTCACACTTCACTATGGAAATAATTTTCCGGCTCCTCCAAAAGGTACGATGTTATAATTAGGCTGGTTTCCTTCTTTAACATGTCCTTTTTCTCCTTTCTCTTTGTCCTTCCACTTCTACCTCATATATCCATGCTGTTCCCTTTTTCTCTACTTGTCACAATTGGATAACACATTTAAGCAAGGCCTAAGTCTTCCTTGGAAACTTGCTACATTGTCCCCCTTCCTTTGCACAATTACTACCCCTGGTTATGCTCATACATCTTCTTGTTTATTCTACCATAGGGAGAGGAAAGAGCACTGATGTTGGAGTCAGACATTTGGTATGAAATTCTTGCTGAGTAACATTGTCTGATTTTACTTCTCAGTCAACATGAGACAATATTATCTGCCTGATAGATTTGTATGGAGAATTAAATCATATAATTGTATAATAATCTAGAACATTGCTTGGAATATGATAGGAACTATAAAATGTTACTGCTTCTCTTTATGTTGAGACTTCATTTACTATGTCTTTTCCATTACAGTGGGAGTTGTGAGAAAAATTGTTCTACTTTATTTGTGATCTCAATAATATCCACCATGGTAGATATTTAGTGTATATTTTTGAAATAATGTATAAATAACTCGCCTAGATGGCTGCCCTCAATCTTTTTTTCAGTTGCAAAACAGTACTGTATATATTTATCTTACGTATATGTGTGTAGGTGTTTGTGTGTACATGTCTGTGTGTATATACATATCTCTTGATGCCATAGTTATAGAGGGGAAAAAAAGACAACTGAGTGTGAGGGGGTAATTGCTTACTTGTTGATGCATCAGTCAATTTAAGTCTCCTCCTTTAAGTATCCGTTAATTATTACATGCATGTAAAAGAATGCAATTTTAAATTAGCACCTGCTTTCAAGTTTATTTTCAGAAAAAGTTAAACACTTATGGCACTTATGGTAATTAAGGAAAAGTTCTAGATGTTTTCTTGTAAGTCAGAGTGTGAATAAGGAAAACAAAAGAAAAATGTTAAACATGATTCCTTTTTACATAATTTATTTTATCTCAGCCCCATTTTTTTGTTGTCAATGCTTTCTCTGTTTGTAAAAGTAAAATGTTATGAGAGTGTTTATTATGAGCTTCATTTTTCTATAATGTCTGTGAGTTTAGAAAGAAAATTATTATATCTGTTATTTCCAGATTTAGCATTCTCCGAGCCTGTCTGTACAATAGTGACTCAATAAATATTTTTGGCTTGATTTATCAAATGGTCTTGCTTCTTACACAACCACATTAAAAAGTATGAGTAGGATAAAACTGAAAAGTAATGAGATGTATAATAACTGTTAAGATATATAGCACTTATTACATACTAGACACTGTTCTGGGCAATACATATTTTTATGTATTGTATATAACTAAAATGACAGGTTTTAGCTTATTTAATGTTCATATAACCATATGAATTAATATTACTCCCCCACCATTAGCAGATAGGAAACCAAGGAACCGAGGGCTTAAACGACTTGCCCAAGGTCTTAGTTCTAGTAGAGCTAGTAATTGAAATTGGGTTGTCTTGCTTCAGAATCTGTGCTCTTAATTACCATGCTATGAATAGTGGTGCCAGAGATTCAGATAAATCTGTGTCATTTTGCCTTATAACAAAGGCAAGTACTTCAAAAATACTTTGGAATGTGTTTTGGTAGAATGAGGCTTAATACAATCTTCAGTAAACTATCTCTATTTTGAATATTCCTTTCCAGAAATATTTTAAACTTATACTCAAAATGTGAAATGATTTTAAATATATACCGTTCACTTGAATAGAAAATAGAAAGAGAAAGAGAGAGAGAGAAGGAAAGAAGGAAAGAAAAGGAAGATCCAGTTTGCATTTGATCAGTTTTAAAAATGCTCACTGTGATAAACATCTTCAAAATTTGAGTCATGTTCCTTTAGTATTTTCACTTCCTAAGATAAGTCTGTGCAAATTTTAAAGAGGGAGCAGCTATATCAGTTTGGTTCAGTAAAATAACTTTACAATGTTAACAATTTTTAATGTCTTCCATATGCACTTAACACTTTTAAGCCAGATTCCTTATTTTAAGTTGTAAGATCCTGGAGGATAGGTTGCATGTTTTACTCAGTATTCTATTCTATGTTCCTAGCACAGTGCTTTGTATTTCAGCGGACACTCAATAAACTTCTGTTGAATGAATTGATTATGGTTGAGCATAATTAATTAACACAAATCTATAATTTTCACAAATTTAATTATAAAAATATTTAGAAAAGTAATATAGTTAATATGTGGAATGATTTCTGAATTATTATTAGGGCCTGGAATGAAAGTACGGCTCATGCATTTAACTTTGTTTAAACACACAGTAATGGTAATGAATGATTTCTTTTTTTTATACTTCTCTATTATTAGTAAAAATTATATTTGTGGAAAATGTTTACACAGAGTTAAGTACCAAATCTATTTAAACACATTAACAAATTATACAAACTAATCATTAATTATTATACAAATGAGTATAGTAATATTTATACTGCTTTGTCCAGCGAGACTGAATTATTTGTTTCAGTCAGTTTGGGGGCTGGGAAGTAAACACTGTGCTAATACATGCATAAATAATGTACCTTAGGTTACTTACTTATTTTTATACATGATGCATGTATTCATTAAAATGAAGAAGGGAGACAGTATACAGGTGTTCTATTCAGGAAGGAAATTTTCAAGGAAATGAGAAAACCTATATTTGCTAACCCTTTTTTTTTCTTATTTGCAGGATTCAGATTTGGGATATTGGTGTTTCTGTTTTGAAGAATATTTCCTTTTGAGCTTTTTTTTTTTTTAATCATCGGTCTTGGACTACAGAAGAATCAGAAAGACACTTATTTTGTTTCAAGTTTGGAACACTCACTCTTGAGGCACTCTCATGCCTGAGAACATGACCATGTGGCCATCACAGCTACTAGTCTTCATGATGCTCTTCGCACCGATAGTTCATGGTAAGACCTTTAAGTATATTTTTGTGTGATGCTTAATGGTGTCTTAGTTGTTTACACTAGACCCTTTCTTCTAAATTTTTGCTCTATGATTTTGCAGCTTTTGCCTACCATATATTAATAGCAGTAAGTAATGTACCTTAAGCTGCAATAAATAGGATTTCGAGTTTGATTTCTTAAAATACCATTTAAAATGTATATCTAACCAAAGTTTAAAAAAAAATAATGCATGTTTTATTCTTTGTTTTACCACACTTAAGGAATATCATCTGAATTATTAACTATGTCATTTATTGTGAATTATTTTTATTTACATATTTTTGTAGGTAAAATAACTTTTAATACAGTAAGTATGTACATTTGAAGGAAAACACTTCAAAAATCTACCTTCCTGAACCAAGTAATCATTTGTTTCTGAGTGTTTACTACTCTCCTCAATCTTTAACAAACAGAATAAAAATTAAACCTCTCATTAAAGCAAAATTCTCACATCCCTTTCAATGCAAAAAAAGGGAAAAAACCAACAACATCAAAATGATATCAACATATGCAGAAAGGTATTTTTCTTGAAACATGCTAACATACTCAGAAAAGACTGTGTTCTTTGTTCATTTAGACAGCTTGGTATTTATAACATGAGTATGATAGTTAAGAAATGATCTCCCTTTGCAAATTTTATAAAACATATAATTATCCAATAAATAAGCAAGACAAATTCTGTACCACTTAGTACAATATTCACAGGATCGCTCTAAAAATTGGCAAATTAAAGTCAATATATATGTTCCTTTTTCACAATTTAAAGTTTTCTACTAATTATCATTGGTTTTGCACTAAGATGAAAATGGCATAATATAGTCACTATCTCATACATTAATGGTAATTAGAACAAAGAAAAAGGGACACAGCTGTATTTGCCACTGCTTAGAAGGTCTCAGAATATTATAGTTTAGCAAGCAGCTGAAAAGCATTTTTAGCCTCTTCAGCTCACTTTTGGTTTTTAATTGACTACAGGGATCTATTGTAGTTCGTCAGTGATGTGAATCCGAATTTGGCTCATATATAAGTTTCAACATGAATTCTGCATTCTGCTGTCAGTATAAAAACTGGATATTATCACTTCTCTCTTGACATTTTCCCTAAAGTTCCCCTGATTTAACACCTTTATTTCTAACAAATTGCTATATGATAGTGTTTTTTTAAAAAATGAAAGTAAAATTATACAACCATCTACTTTTAAACAATGTAAATTTGTCAGATATTTCAAAATTTTTCCTTAATTCTTATATTGATATAGCACTTACATACTCACATACTTGGGCACATATAACATTTTGTGATATGGGGCAGTATAAGAATTATACAGCTTTAAACAAGTGCTTTTCTGATTATCTGTATCTCTAAAGATGATTCTAATTAGGTTTTTAGATGTTATAAAAACACCTCACTCATAAGGTTACTTTGAAGATTAAATAAATAGTATATGTAAAGAATCTAGCACAGTGCCTGACAGATATTGTGACTGAACACATTAATTTCCTTTATCATACTATCTGCCCCTCCAGTTTGTTTTTGTGCCAGTAAGTTGTAACAACTAGGAATTAGCTAACCCTGAGAGCTTTTTCATTTGATGTTGATATTCAGAAAAAAAAAACAAAAAAAACTATGTACAAGTCAAGTTTAAAAAGTCAGTCTAAAATTGCACTGTTAGAGCAAGGTAGGTTAAAAATAGCAGAAATAGATATTGTAAGAAAGACTCCCTTTTCAGAGGTGAAATTTCTGGTCTCCAAAAACTGACACCTACTGTGTATTTCAGTGGGCCCCAAACATGGCTGAGCCTTAGGTCATAGGTCTTGAGTTAAGGCCTGTACTGAACACACATACACACACACACAATCTCTCCAAGTAACTCTGAGAAGTATTTAAAAACTCCTAATAGGGCACAGAGAATATTGAGCCTGGTATATAAAAAATATAAAACATTTTGGCTAAAAACTAAAGTAATTCTTTCCATTGGATGTGAACTACCTTATATTATCTTGACTTTGAACCATATCAGGATAAACAATATAGAAGCGTTCCACTTATAAACTTTATTCTTATTACCTTGTGTAAGTATTTTAAAACTTCACACCAGAGAAAATGCAAATCAGTTTTGTCTGCCTTCCATAGGAGGCTTTCTCCATTGCCTTTGTGATACCACTTCGGGCTTGTTAATAAAGGGCTTCACTTGAGCAGCCTTTTGGAATCCAGCATACTCATAAACAGAGGACTGTGTGTACCTTTGAGCAGTGATGAAATCTAATAGGATAGGCATTTTTAGAGTCCCATATAGCTTAGAGTCCCAGTCCTGGCTTAAAGGAATACCATATAGCTCGAAACCTTAGAGGAATGAGGTAACGTGGATGTCTCAGTTATAGAAGTACTCTTGTTTCCAAAACATCCCCTGATAGCATCTCTTTGCCTACTGCTGTTGAGATGTCTAGGTTCATTTGTCCTTGAGACCATAGAGAATTAACTTTTCTGGGTATCACCCGAATTGCTGGCCTTTTCTCCAGAGTAAATAATAATGATGACTATAAATTCTGTAGCCATAAACTTTAGAGGTATTGGTACAATTAATTATCACAACATTCTCATGGGTTTAATGTTATTTATTATTATCATCATTATCATTAACTTCTTATAGTAAAATCCGTGAGGTACCAAGTGGCAAAAGAACTTGACTAAAGTTGCACATGAGACCCAGAGAGGTTTTAAAACAAAGGACTTAGCTTCTTAAGCTCTGGTCTTAATGCCAGTAGATAATCAGTTACTATCAAGGCCATTCTTCCCTACAGAAGAAATCCCACCTCAACTCTCCTGGTCCTTTGGGAGCAGATAAGGCAGAAAAGTAGATTACCTGCTTCTTCCATGTTCTGGGCACAGACAGACTGGGATTTGAAGTCTAACAGACCTGAGATAAAATTTCAGCTCTACTGCTTACAAGCACTGTAACACTGTTACCTGGTAAACTAGTTAACACATGTCATTTATCATAGACTATGAGCCAGAAAACTGTGCTAGTTGCTAAAGGTAAGGTAGTGAACAAAAGATTCTTAATTTTTCCCTTAAGCTTACAGTAACTTAAACATTTGTAAACCTACTTCTCATCCGCAAGAATGAACACTTACTCCATGTGCGGTTATTTTAAGAAATTGATGGAATGATATGTGAATAGTTTCTAACATAGTGCTTGGCATTCAATAAATCTTTATATTTTATTTTCCTAGCCCTAACTACCTTGAAATAGAACTAAACCTCTCAGCATTACATAAGGAAAATGCATAATTATCATTATTCTTACCCTGATAATTGAAATCTTTTGCTACTTGGACCTCAGCATTTAAGTTTTACCAGAAAATTTTAAAACTAGTATCTAAACAAAATTATTATCAAAGTGATATATATATATATGTATATATATATAAAGGCTTAGTATATAATTGTCAGTATATAATAATATAGTATATAGTTGTCAATTGTCAGTGGTAGTAGTATATAATTGGTAGTATATAATTGTCAGAGAAGCATTTTTTGCATGATTTCTACATGGGTAAAATTAGAAACTAAGATGAAGAATTAATTCTGAATAATGTTTACATTAGTTGAATAATCTCCCACATCATCCTAGAAAGTCTGGCCAGTGTTTTTTATAGGAAAACAAAATTAATTAGTATATCCACATTGTGTGTGTGTGTGTGTATATATATATATATATATATACACACACACACACACAAGTTTTAAATTAAGAAATGTCTCTAGGTCTGTGTTTATCTGTCCATATTTTATGTCTCTGTGTACCTCTGTATTTCTCTTTTTCTGTTTACCATGACTGTGCCCCCTTCTTGTACAGCCATAAAATCCTTATCTATAATGCAATGAGACCTGGCAGAAGTAAAGAGAAGCAGCTAAAGCAGGTGGCCAGTTCTTTGCTGTTAACTAATGTAGTGTTGCATGAAGATAAAAGTTTTTTTGTTCTATTGATCTTGTTGGGAGCAAGAGAAAAAGGGGGAATCGGAGAACAAAAATCAAGTGATAACATGGGCACCTGGGACTCATCCTTATTGGCAGTAAAGCAATATGCTTCAGTGTAGGACCTGGACTAGGACATCTGGTCCTGGGAGGGATGTCACACAAGCCACAATGGGTTGGGAGTTGAGAAGGTGATTGGGGTGCTCAAATATTTTAACTGCATCTCATCTTAATTAAACTGTGTTTAGAAACTGTCACAATTAAAAAGATAGAAAACAGGATCATTGGAGCTTACTGTGTGCTAAAGGGAACAATACTTTTTATGGTACCTTTGCAGAAAAAAGTAGAATTTAAAAAAATTCTTCTGTGACCACCATATGTGTACTTTTTTCTGCAAGTCTATTTTTTGTCATTAAAGTTGAATGAATATTTATATATTAATGGACTTTACAGGCAAACCTGCTCTTTATTATGTCCAAGAAGTTAATTATTATAAATAGTTCTTAGCAGGGACAAAACAATGGTCAAAGGCATATATATTTCGTACTATATGTTTTTATGTAATTTGCATTTTATTATTAACTATTTTTACAATTATAATATTTAATGTGTCAATGGTTTAAAATAATAATTTAAAATATTTTTAACCTCTAATAAAATGTAAAGCTTGAGAAAGTACAAAATTACATTTTATAACACAACGTATTACCTCATAATTTTTTATGAAGTCATGTTTTATTAATTGTGAAAAAGACAGGTTGACTTCTAAGCGCTGCTTAACTTTGTTATTTTTAGAAATTAATCATCCTTTAAATGTTTATAATGTTTGCCAACCTAGGCAATTTGTCATACTTGCAGTAATATCACTGTTTTTATGGTCAAATATGTTATACAGAAAAATCTTTGTCATTATCATGTTATATGAGGTTACTGCGAACACATCCAACACCATCTACATTAGCCACTCGGTACTGAAATTCAAAATA